AATTACACGGTTACTTGTACAAGGAAGTGTGAAAACAAATTATTTGTCTTTGTTCCTTCATGTGTAAAGTCCAGCGAGGGTCTAGGAGATAATTGAATATGCAAGGTGAAGCAAGACAAAGTGCCCTAATTAAGAGATAACTAAGTGATCTCCCTTAAAAATTGAAAGACGGTAGATTTATTTAATTAAAGTTTCAGTTAGAGAGAATTTATGTTCTGACTTGAATCGTTACAGTTTTGCGGAAAATAGGAAAACAGCTCATGGAGAACCCTCACTACTGTAATGATTTTCCCCTTAGATTCCAAAAAATCCCCTGACGTTCCCCTGTCTGTCGCTGACATTTCCCTGTCTCCCCCTGACTTCCTCCTATGATCCCCTGTCGTTGTCCCTGACTACCCTGTCTACTCCCTGACGTCCCCTGACTTTGCCCCTGTTACCACTGTCTAACCCCTGATGTCCCCTGACATTCCCTGACGTCCCTGTCAACTCCCTGATGTCCCCTGACTAAGCCCCTGACCACCCTGTCGATTCCCTGTCGTCCCCTGACATTCATTTTGACCCAGAAAAGTGGTTAAAATATGTTTTTGTTGCTATTTACTTGTGAGAAAATCGATACCTTACTCCTAGCAATTTTCAAGTTTTGTGAAAATGTAGATTTAATCATTAGTTTTTCTGTTTGAAATATCTTTAGAGAATTCTTTCAAAATATTATTTTATTGGTTATTACTAGCTTTTCAGATAAATCTTAATAAGGATAAATGCCGCTATTTATCTGTTTATTTATTTATTTGTTTATTGATTTTATTAATTCATGTATCTGTTTATTTATCAATTTGTCTGCTTATTTATCTATTCTTTTTTTTCCATTTATATATATATTTTTTTTATTCAATTTATCAATTTATTTTTACTTATTTGTTTTATTTAATTATCAAAAAACAAATGGATTTATTTAAATTTTTTATTTATTTTATTTTATTCAATTCAATTATTTTAATTTATTGATTAAATAAATTTAATTCAATTTGTGTAGTTCTTCATATACAGTGTCCGGGTAAAACAAATTTGCTTCAAACTCTTTTTTAAGCATATTCAAATTACTTTTAATTCTTTTAATTTCATGATGGGTATCAAAATCATCGTCTCATTACGCACAATCTGAATCTGGAATTTGTTTTATTGTTCCCTTTTACTTTGGTAAAACAAAAATTTCCTCAAAAACTTGTCACGGTTGTGAAAGAAATAACACCTGCAGAGTGGATACGGTCGTGCTGCCACAAAATAAACAGTGTATAGTGTTCAGTCAAAAGAACAATAGGTGTCTGGTCTGTGTACCCAGAGTCACTGGTCAACAATCAACAGCTCAGAATTACTTTCACAACCGTGACAGTTTTCGAGGAACATTTTTATTTTTTGTAACAAAGTAAAAGAAGCAATAAAACAAATTCCGAATTCAGATTGTGTGTAATTAGACGATTTTTTTGATACCCATCATGAAATTAAAAGAATTAAAAGAAATGTAAATATGCCTTAAATAGTTTGAAGCATCGTTTGTTTATCCATAAGACTGTTTATGGGGAACTACACAAATAAATAGGAATTAAAAAAAATAATTAATTAGAATAAAATGAATAACAAAATAAGTAAAGAAGGAAATAACATTAATTAATTAATAATTGAATAAAACAAATATTTGAAAGAAAAAAATGAATAGATTAAATAAATAAATAAACAGATAGATAAAAAATAAATAAATAGAAAAATATACAAATAAATAAGTAAAAAAAAAATAATTAGGAATATTGATTTTGTATGTAATTATTTGCTTGAAGTATCTTGAGTAAATTTATTAATTTAATTGAATTTAATTTATTGATGTATCTTTTTTTTTATTTATTTCTTTGTCCGTTTATTTATCTATTTATTTTTTCATTCATTTATTAATTTTATCCATCAAATTTATTTTTACATATTTGTTTTATTTAATTTTTAATAGATAAATTAATTTATTTAAATTTTTTATTTATTTTATTTTATTTCATTTATTTCCTTTATTTTAATTGATTGATTAATTTTTATTTAATTCAATTTGTGTACATGTAGTTATTCATAAACAGTCTCCGAGGAAAACAAATTTGCTTCAAACTCTTTTTTAAGCATATTCAAATTACTTTTAATTCTTTTAATTTCATGATGGGTATCAAAATCATCGTCTCATTACGCACAATCTGAATCTGGAATTTGTTTTATTGTTCCCTTTTACTTTGGTAAAACAAAAATTTCCTCAAAAACTTGTCACGGTTGTGAAAGAAATAACACCTGCAGAGTGGATACGGTCGTGCTGCCACAAAATAAACAGTGTATAGTGTTCAGTCAAAGAACAATAGGTGTCTGGTCTGTGTACCCAGAGTCACTGGTCAACAATCAACAGCTCGAAACTACTCTCACAACCGTGACAGTTTTCGAGGAACATTTTTATTTTTTATCAAAGTAAAAGAAGCAATAAAACAAATTCCGAATTCAGATTGTGTGTAAGAAGACAATTATTTTGATACCCATCGTGAAATTGAAAGAATTAAAAGAAATGTAAATATGCTTAAAAGATACTTTGAAGCATATTTTCTTTTACCTTTCGACTGTTTATGCGAAACTCACAAATGAATTGAATAAAATAGAATTAATTAATTAATTAAAATAAAATGAATCAAAAACAAAATAAATATATAATATTAATCAATCAATTAATAATTCAATAAAGAAAATATATCTAAAAAGAAATATATGAAAAGATTTAATTAATGAATTAGTCAGTAAATAGATAAAACAAATAAATAAATAAATAAATGTGGATATATAGATTAACATATAAATAAATATAGATATATTTACTTGCCATTCATGACAAGACGCAATAAATTTGTAATTCATTCTTTTTAAAGTAAATGGCATTTATTCTCCTTAAAATTTATCTAAAAGCTACATGTACTGCACTAAAACAATCAAATACAATCATATTAAGAAATAAATTACTCAAGATATTCAAACAAATAACAATTGACTAAATATATATTTTCACAAAACTTAAGAATTCCCAAGAGTAACGTTTTTCTCACAAGTAAATAGCAACAAAAACATATTTTAACCACTTTTCTGGGTCAAAATGAATGTCAGGGGACGACAGGGAATCGACAGGGTGGTCAGGAGCATAGTCAGGGGACATCAGGGAGTTGACAGGGACGTCAGGGAATGTCAGGGGACATCAGGGGTTAGACAGTGGTAACAGGGGCAAAGTCAGGGGACGTCAGGGAGTAGACAGGGTAGTCAGGGACAACGACAGGGGATCATAGGAGAAAGTCAGGGGAGACAGGAAAATGTCAGGGACAGACAGGGGAACGTCAGGGGATTTTTTTTGAATCTAAGGGGAAAATCATTACAGTAGTGCCTGATTAACGTATTTGTCGATAGCTTGCCGTATTTTGAAATTATTTGTACGTAGAACAAGCTCTTCCGTATTGAATTAATTGGTAGACGTTCATTCTATATGCCGGTGATAATGGTATATCAACATAGAAATGAAAATGAGTATTGTGAATTGATTAAACGTTGTCGATATATCTAAATGCCGAATTGAACCCCACAGCAAGAGACTTTTTCTTTTCCTGTGGATGTTTGCGAATAAATTCTGCTTTCTATGAATACAAAAAGAAGTCTGTAATAATGGGGCACAATAAGTTTCCATGGGTGTCCAAACAAATTGTTGGAAGAGCTGGTCTCAAAAAACAACATAGATATTGTCAATAAGAAACGCAAGCATCTTTTTAATTTTAACTTCGGATTATTTGTGTGTAGAATTATTTTTTTTTTAACAAAATGAGTATGCAGATGACTATTGACAAATAAATAGATTTTACCACATTCATTTTTATTGAAAAAGCAAATGTCTCTGATCTCTTAAATGCATGGACTTTAATTTATCTCAAGAGTGTTGAATAAATTTGTGAAAAATCGTCAGTTTGGTGCTTCTGATTTTGGTTAAATTTTCTGATCGTATTTTTTTTTTTTTTTTTTTTTTTTTTTAATCCAAATCTGAATAACACCACTTCACAAGTACGTTGTTGTACGGTATTCCTGAAGTTTCTCCTTCACTGCCAAAATTACAAACTGTTCTAAATGAACAAAATAACCATCTTATAAATCAACAGGCCCCTGAAAATTTAATTTTTTACTGTTTGAAGAAAATATGCAGAGACAGAGGTAAATTCATAGTAATGCAGAGAAAATTCGGATTTAATTTTTACTTTTCTTCAATTATTTAACAAAACATTTTTTCTTGCGATGTTATTCTGATAGTTTTTTTTTATGTGTTTTTACATAATTTTGCAAATACTGTGTGTCAAAGCCCATGTATTATTAAAAAAAACAATTGAATGGCATTTCATGAAGAATATCAAAAATATAACTAAAACAATTCCAAACAACGTATCTCTAGATTTTGATATATGTTTAATAGCAGTAGAATAATGCATATAGTAAACTATGGCTTTAAATAGTTGAGATTTCATATCATTCAAATTTTTGTCATTTTTTCAGACCTTTTAGAAAATCAATAGTTGAAACTCTGACTGGATTAATTTAGAAGTTTATCGTTCAAACTCTTATTGTTTATTTACATTTAGCATAGCTAGAATTATTCCATTTTTATTATATTTCATTTTCTAAAGTTTTTTTTTACTTGTTATATTTTGTCAATAAAGAAAATATTAGTCAAATTGAAAAAAATTGAGGCATATTCCGAGAAATACTCAAGGACCACTAGCATGAAATATAGGTAACTGTCAGATCCAGTTATTTGAAAGTGAATAATAATACTACAATCAAAGGCCTATAATATACTATAGGTGTCTGTTCATTCCAAATACTTTGTGGAAGTTTTTGTCACCTGAAAACGTCATCCTTAAAGCAACTAGATAATTGATAGTTAACAACATGTAAATGGCTGCTTAAAATACATGTAGGTAATTTTTTAGCGCTCTGTTATCAAAATTCTCGTTTCAGTGATGTTTGGCCCCCTACAGCGGCATATTCGAGGTTTTTGGAGAATAGTTAACGTTGTTTTATCATCATTTTCGTTTCCACGATGTTCGCGCCATTACTGATCGTTGGGTACCACGGTCTGTTCCAGGTGTCTGAGGCCCAGGGTCCGTTAAGAAAGGCGTTATGGCAGCTGTTGAACCACCACCCTCCTTTGTTGTATTCCGCGCAGTTTCCCGTGATCAAGTCGTCATCCCGATCACGTGTACTGAACGCCATGCCAGACAGGTCCTTACCGCTGGACCCTGTATTTAACATGTTGTCTCCTGTAATGTAATACAAATATCACACTAAAACACGAATGTGCAATAATACCGATATCCAGATGTATTGCGGTTAGTTGACAAAAATGCATTGCGATGCGTTTTTCAGAACCAATATTCCGGCAAAATGCTTGGACTCAGGATTGAAAAAATTACAGTTTAAGATATCAAAAACTTTTATTAAAGCAAGTACTTACACATTACGACATAATTTTTTTTAGAGTGGTGTTAATGTTCTATTTTAGCAAGTGCTTAATATTAAGGTCAACATGCTGGTTAAAATTCACTACTTCTTTTTAAATTGTTTTATATGAAATAGGTTACTTAAAAACTAGATATGTCATTAAATATATTTATTATATTATAAACCCGTATCTTTCGTTATATTAAGGAATATGAAAACTATAACAGTTTTCAAGAAAAAAAATCGGTGGTCTAAATTGTGAAACAAGTGATGACTTTATGAATTAGTTATCCCATTATCGATACATTCTAAAATGCAATACATTTCAATCTGTATACTTTATCCTCATTTTATAATGAATTCAAAGTAAAACTTGTTTAATCAGTCAATAAATATGTTAGGAACAGGAGGAAAAAAATCAGTGACGAATTTGTAAAGTTTTAAACAATTTATCCAAATTAAATCTATCCCGACCGAAGTTATATAAAAAAGAGAACAACAAATATAATTAATCTGGAAATTTTTGTTATAATGTGGCTTACAGAACACTTGGTTTTCATCATAAAATGTTTACCTGTGACATTTGCATTTCTTTTGATTGCTTGTTAATTTTGCATTTATTTTGATCGGAATCGGTTTTAATTCAATGGGGATTGGTTTATATCTAAGAACTAGAAAAATTTTCTTAACTCCTCTCTTCGTGATAATTTAATTTAAAATTATATTAATTTTGTCAATATGGAATAATGTAATTTTAAATGACAAAAATATATCGTTAAAATTTATTTTCTTTCATGCAAAATTTACGATAGAAAGTAGTTCATAAATGACTGTATTTTAAACGAAATTCTTTTTCATTTAATGGTAGTTGTTTTCCTTACAAGATGTGTCAATAAAAGTCTTTTAATACACGAAAGTTTACACATATTAATTCCTCCTAGTACCACCTTCGGGAGACTTTCTTGAGTTGCACGACTCGTATGTTTAGACTACCAAATCATTATCAGAAATACGAAACTAGAAACAAGTTTAGAACATTGTTAAAATTATTTCATTTTCGCAAATTAATTTACACAGGCTGGATAGTGCCGATACTCCGGCCCCCAAGAAAATATAATGCATTTCAATGTATTTGGATGTATATTTATAATTTAAGTAAATTAAAATGAAAGTTGAATTCTCTTTTTATAACCGGATACTTCTACCACCTTGAATCATAAGGGAATCGATGTTGCAATATTAAAACAAGAGAATGTTAATGAATTATTTTTCCATTAAGAAAAACACATTTACTTGCAGTATGATGTATAGATTGAACACATAATGAACAGAGAATGACGCGACATTATGTAAATGTGTGATTTACTATCGACATACACATTTTAATTGATGTGTAATAATGCCGAAACCTACTCATCCGAGAAATTCTACCAATTGCAATGTTCTCTCAAGTTTCCAAAATCGATTCCAAATTTTCCAGACTTAGTTCAATATCATGGTATGCATTCAATGCTAAAAGTTATTTGATTTTTAACTGAATTTGTAAAAGGCAAAAGATGTCGATGAATACAAATCAAATGGTTGTTACAATTATAACAGAAAAACGACATAATCAATTACTTGAAAACTATACAACTCTGCATACCCAACACGATTTACATTAAAAAGACCCATACATGGTATAAGATCATAATTTCACTGAAATGGACATTTCTAATCAATTTAGATTCTTACATTGTAGTTACTCAATCACTATGTAAAGGAAGGTATGGAAACATTACAGAGCTCACTTCGACCTACAGTTTATGATTCAAAGCTGTATCCACACATGAATATATTTAATTAAGTACACAATATGTAATCCTACTCTTTCTTTCATTATCATTATCCTGAGTTTACTCAAGTGACCTATTGCTATCCGTTTTCGTCCGTCGTCGTACGTCGTTCGTCGGTCGTAAACTTTTGAACATTTTTAGCTTCTTCTCTGGAACCGCTCAACCAATTTCAACCAAATTTGGCATATAGTATCTATGGGTGAAGGGGATCAAAAATTGTGAATTTCATGGTCCCTGCCCCCCTGGGGCCTGAGGGGTGGGGCTAAAACCACCAAAATTAATGCAATCTTTAAAAATCTTCTTCTTTACTCCTGGACATCAAGCAGTCAAACTGTTGGCATCATTGTAATGAGCATTGAGTCCTCTACCAAAATTGTGAAATTCATGGCCCCAGGGTCAGGGGTTCTGGTGCTAGGGCGGGGCTATATAGATCATATAGTGAAAGTGCATTATTTCTTTGAAAATCTTCTTCTCTGCTCCTGGGTATTAAATAAACTAACTAAGTATATAGTAATGATGAGTAAGAGTGCCTCTTCCAAAATTGTGAAATTCATGGCCCCAGGGTCTGGGATTCTGGTGTTAGGGCGGGGCTCTATTGATTATATAGTGAAAATGCATTAATTCTTTGAAAATCTTCTTCTCTGCTCCTGGCTATTAAATAAACTAAGTATATAGTTATGATGAGTAAGAGTGCCTCTTCTAAAATTGTGAAATTCATGGCCCCAGGGGCAGGGGTTCTGGTGTAAGGGCGGGGCTCTATTGATTATATAGTGAAAATGCATTAATTCATTGAAAATCTTCTTCTCTGCTCCTGGGTATCAAATTCAGTAACTAAGTACATAGTTAGGATGAACAAGAGTGCCTCTTCCAAAATTGTGAATTTCATGGCCTCTGGATAAGGGGTTCTGGTGTTAGGGCGGGGCTCTATTGATTATATAGTGAAAATACATTAATTCTTTGAAAATCTTCTTCTCTGCTCCTGGGTATTAAATTCAGTAACTAAGTACATAGTTATGATGAGCAAGAGTGCCTCTTCCAAAATTGTGAAATTCATGGCCCCAGGGGCAGGGGTTCTGGTGTTAGTGCGGGGCTCTATTGACTATATTGTGAAAAAGCATTAATTCTTTGAAAATTTTCTCCTCTGCTCCTGGGCATTAAGGTGATAAACTAAGTACATAGTTATGATGAGGAGGTGGGCCTCTTCCACAATTGTGAAAGCCATGGCCCCTGGGTCAGGGGTTCTGGTGTTAGGGCGGGGCTCTATTGATTATATAGTGAAAATGCTTTAATTCTTTGAAAATCTTCTTCTCTGCTCCTGGGTATTATTTAAACAAACTAAGTGCATGGTTATGATGCATAAGGATGCCTTTTCAAAAATTGTGAATTTCATGGCCCCAGGGTCAGGGGTTCTGGTGTTAGGGCGGTGCTCTATTGATTATATAGTGAAAATGCATTGATTCTTTGAAAATCTTCTTCTCTGCTACTGGAGACTATTTAAACAAACTAAGTGCATGGTTATGATGCATAAGGATGCCTTTTCCAAAATTTGTGAATTTCATGGCCCCAGGGTTAGGGGTTCTGGTGTTAGGGCGGGGCTCTATTGATTATATAGTGAAAATGCATTGATTCTTTGAAAATCTTCTTCTCTGCTACTGGAGATTATTTAAACAAACTAAGTGCATGATTATGATAGACAAGGATTCCTCTTCCAAAATTTTTAAATATATCGCCTCAGTTTTTGGGGTTCTTGAGGAGGGGGGGGGGGGCTCTATTGATTATATAGTGAAAAAGCATTAATTCTATTAATTAATCATTAATTAATCCTGTCGGCTCCTTAGTATCGAGCTGATAAATAAATTGCTTAGCTATGATGAAAATGGGAGCTTCGAACAGAATTTTTAAATCTTGTGGTCCTAGGGTCAGGGGTTCTGGCATAACGAGGGGGGGGGGGGCTTTTGATAATATAGTGGAAAAGTGTTAATTCTTTGAAGTCCATAGTAATGATGATGAGGGTAACTCTTCCAAATCTGTAATTTTCTTGACCCTTGGTCTTGGGTTCTGGTGTTAGGGTAAGGCTTTGTTGAATCTGTAGTGAAAATGCATTGTACCTGTGAAATTCTTCTCTGCTTCTGGGCATATCGGAAGCAAACTGAGTAAAAGTTTAAATGATATGAGTAAGCGTATTTCTACCAGATTTTTAAACATCTGCACCATTCGTCTAAGCATTCTGGTCCTGGGCAGGGCTCTATTAATTTGTATTCTACTGAGAGAAGTTATTCCCCTTTACCATTCACCTTTGATAAAGCATGCTAACTGTATAGTTATGATGAGCAATAGTGCCTCTTTCAAAATTGTGAATTACATGGCCTCTGGTGCAAAATACAAACCAAATTCAATTGTTGGAAAGTTGTTACACGATACTCAGGTGACCTATAAGGCCCGTGGGCCTCTTGTTGATTTATCTATTATTGGTTTCTGCTGATTTGTTTTAGCTTTTACTTTAAGAAGGGAATATTAATTTTGGACCCGTGTCCTTCCGTCATTCCATCTGCCTGTCAGTCAATCATTCGATTCGTGATCTATCAAAAACCCTTAAACTTTCTCAGTAAAACTTTTTGCCATACCATGACATAATAAGACCCCGAACGATTTTGAGATCAAATTTCCAGGTTAGAGAACTTTCCTTAAATCTACGGGAGCTATGATATAAAATTACATTACAAATCTGTCTGTAAGAAAATTTCAGTTTTCTGGAAGTAATTTTACGAATATCCCTGGTATTACGGTGAAGTACTACAGTTTGGGCGACCGAAATTTTTTTTATCACTTTCATCTGCCTCTTCTAGCCGCAGGAGATGTTTAGTAGTACTGTATTGTGATGTAACATGAGGTATGTTACATGCATTTCTAAAAGTGCACATCTAACAAAGACTGTTCAATCTACTTTCTGTTTGCAATTTCAATAGTATCAAAGTTCTTTCTTTATTATTAGTGAACTTTTATTTGGATATCGCGAGAACAGATATTCTGGGCTGCCATTTCCAATCTTTTAAGAAGAGTGGGTATTGAGTTTTCGGGGGGGGGGGGATTCTTTTGAATAAATGTACAAGGTCCGAATTTTTTCTTCATATGATACGTTAAGTTCTCAGTTGGTGTTCGCATTATATTACATAATTATCCCACAGAATAAGTACTTTGTCTCTCCTTACATACCTAGAGTACCTGTTGCTGTCCCTCCTAGAAACAGACGGTATTTATTTGTCTCGTCAGACAAAGAGAAGATTTCGTACACTTCATTCATTGTTGTACCATTGTGAAGCGTGATGGACAGATATAAAGAGGAATGATTTCCCTTGGTAAGTTGGTGGATGACATCATTTCCTGAAAAATACATTTCAGAAAGTGTTCAAACACAATTATATTTAACCTTTTTAAAACTATTTCACCATATAATAGAATAATTTGCAGCACTAGAGTTTAGTACATTTCGTAAACCTGCCTTCCCTTCCGCGTTGTTTATACTAGTAGTTCTATAAGAGTTTGTCGTAACTAAGATGACCTCTAAACCTTAACACGCAGCATGTGCCGAAAATTTAAAAGAAGAATCAAGCAGATGGAAATATGTCTTGGATTTGCACGATTATAGTAATATGTGAAGATTGAACAAGTTGTGATATGCAAGCTACCGACCAAATTAGCCATCGAAGAGGTAGAAAATGAGGATATGCCGCGATATTAGGATGTGAATGCTCTACAGAAAAATAATTTTTGTGTCCTTTATTTTATGATATCCAAGAAAAAGAGTCAAATTTTATTAATATAGAATCAAATTGGACATCATAATAGATCAAGAATAATTATTATTAAGCCTTTGTCACCGAAAGATTACACCTCTGCAGTAATAGGGTAGGCAGGTCTGCTTTGGATGTTTTATATTCCTCATATGTACAGGTAGATACAAGTATCTAAATTTTAAGGACATTGGCAAGGTTCCTTGCTTAGAATTTTTCTAGAACTCTTGATTTTGTGTAATGGTACTAAACATGTTATATTTTGGTACAGCCACATACTAGTAATCTTTTTTTTTTTTTATTTTGATTTTGATTTTGTGAAATCAATGTTTTTACAATTCTCAATGCATTTCCAATGTAAAATGTTGATAAAAAGACTTACATAATTTTTCACCATACTATTAACTCCAAAACCAATTTATTTCATAAAGTTTATGTATTATATACATTATTTTATCCTCATTTCCTATGACATCTAGATATTATGGCTACAACTGCAAATATAGAAACAAGACACAGATATACCAGCACCGTTCTTCTATTTTGAGTGACTTCCCTTAGAATTTATTATTAATCATCATGATACAGAGACTGATTAACTGTTTCTATAATGTAATTTACTTTATTGGAAACAATTGTTATAAAAATATTTGCATGCATGAAATATATGGAGATAACGAACAGTATTCAAGCTCAAAAGTCCATTAATCAATACAAAATAGGAGCAGAGCAAACACGGACCTCCAAACATCAGAGGTGGGATCAGGTGCCATGGAGGAGTGAGCATCCCCTGCCGACCGGTCACACCCGCCGTGTGCTCCTTGTCATGATCGGGAAATAACGGAAAAATCCGTCGACAATTCAGTGTGTAAATAATGGCCTAACAATTTGTATGAAAAACGTCAGTCAGCATTTGACTCAATGATAAATTGTATTTGCTGACAAGGTCATTGTATCGACCATAGAACTTACGAAATGATGACTTTAAACGAGACAGCTGATATTCTTGTTTCATCAACTTATTTGTCAATAATTTACCTCGTTTTAGAAATTGTACATACGTAGAGCATGCTCTGGCGTATCGAATCAACTAAGAGATATATACTATGCAGGTGATGAAGGTATATTGCTGCATAAGTAAGGGAAGTTGACGATTGAAAAGTTAAAGTCATCACGTTTATCATAAAGCTTGGTTGTTAGATTACCATTAACGTCTTTTTCAAGTAAAATATCCAAATATGAAACAGATGTGTCAGACTCTGTGGTATCTTTTATCTCAAGTTCACAAGGATATATCGTATCGATTTAAGAATGGAAATAGCCATTGTTAATTGACAATACGTCGTCGATATATCTAAATGTCGAGTTGAAGGCCACAGCAAGTGTTTTCTTCTTTTCAGGTACAAGATTTTGGACAAATTCTGCTTCACATGAATACAAAAAAAGGTCTGCTAATAACGGGGCGCAATTGGTACCCATGGCAATTCCAATAGATTATTGGAAGACCTGGTCTCCAAAAGCCACATAGATATTGTCAATCAGAAACTCAAGCATCTTTTTAATATCAACTTCAGAGTACTTGTGTGAACAATCAGAATGTTTTTTAACAAAATAATTTTGCAAATGACCAATGAAAAGGTAAGTATATTTACGAGTTCAATTTTTATTGAAAAAGCAGCTGTCAATGATATCAAAAAGCCTGGATTTTATATTGCGGGGAATGGTTGTGTACACAGTTGAAAAGTCGTAAGTTTTTAAGCTGTTGATTTTGGTAAAATCTTGTGATTTCAAATTTTCCAAAAGTTCCTTGGAATTTTTAAGTATCCACATCTGATTTACACCACTTCTCGAATATATTGTTGCACAGTACTCTTGAAGTTTCTCCTTCACCACTGTTAATATCTTAGTGAGGAGTAAAGATAGAGGCTTGGTTGAACATTTACTGGAACCCGCTATGTATCTTTGTTTGTAAGGATTTTTATGAAGTTTCGGAATCCAATATAAATATGGTAATTCGAATTCATTTTGGTTGTTTGGAATATTAAAAATATTCAAAACTGACATATGATTTTGAAGAATATCTTCCTTAGAAAGGGAACTATGAGTATAAGTTGGATTACCACTTGTAGAATTAAATCCAAGTTCCTCTAAAATACATTTAATATAATGAGCCTTACAAACAAAGACAATGTTGTTACTTGCTTTGTCAGCAGGGACCAGTACGTATTGATCATGTAATCTATCTAATTCTTTTTTCACTTCTGGATTATTGAATACAGAAGGATAGATGGTTTTCATATTGCCTCTCAATCTTTTAATGCGCGATTTTAACATACATCTGATACATTTAATCCATTCTGACAAAGTGTCAAGGTCTTCTTTTTCATGTCTGGTCCATCGCTTGGCGTAGTCCTCTACAGAATCCATAATATTTATGAAATTCCGACGCCAGTTGAAGGATCTAGGCTCCCTAAATTTAGGACCTTTTAAAATTAGTGATCTAAGGTCCTCATTATTAACTATATTTACGTCACCAGTAATAACGTGTCCAGCAGGACTATAGTTATAGGGCGAAGAAGAACATGAACACGATGGAGGATTATGCTTCAGATATTCGATATCCAGGCCCTGTAAAGTTTTCTTGTAATTAAAAAGTTTGGAAGCAATAGTCGATGTATATTTGTAGGAAATACAAGGTGTAGTCTTTAACTTGAAATATAGTGGAATACAAGACTGGACCCTTTTGTGATTAAGGATATTACTTATATTAACCGCGTCAATTCCTTTGTTGGCATATTGAAGTTTAAGGAAAAAACGGATTGTTTTAGCTGCATTTTCTTCAGTAAAACGCGGGGGTTTAAAAAGCCTATGATTGGCAATATCCATAACAACAGATCCGAGCCTATATATTCTGGTGTTGAGGAATCAAAAAATGGACTTTCCTTGACCTTTTCAAGAAGACTATTTAAAAGTTTTAAAGGGACAGAGTAAAGTTTAAAAGAACAAAGAACTAGTGAATAGAATATGACATAGTTCCAAAAGGTGATAAAATAAGAATACGGATGACATAAAGACACATATGTGCAACAGGGACTTACAATACAACAGAGTGTATTTAAACTGCATGATTCGAGAATTCGTACAAGTCCACTGTTCTGCAATGCAGCGAGTACGAACTATGAAATAAAATAGCACGTACTTGCAACTTTTTGAGATTTGTTACTTTAAAGCTGAACAAGAGCCGTGAAAAGGAATACGCCCTGATAAGTTTTCCCATCTCCCCTGTAAGCACTAGGCTCTATCCTTCGCATTCCTTAATATGATTGCTTTCTTGCAACAGTTAGCTGGATGGATACCGACACAACACGTAACTATGTTAATTACCTTACATAACCATTGTTAATATTTTTTGCCACCGTGGAATAAGATCGCATCAGTTACTTTTATTGCTTATGAGTATTTACAATGGCTACTTTCCCACAAGAAAAAAACTGAAAAGCGATAGCCTACGGTATTACACTGAGCCGTGTCAAAGTAAACGATTTAAACAGGGGCTCCAGAAGTGAAGACACATGAAGAGAAATATGACGGACAAAGATCTCTTCTGTTCAGGAATTGTGCAGCTTTATGTCTATAATATGGAGGCCTTGACAAATTCGTTAAATCTCTAAATATTGTAAAAGAATGAATTTGCATATAAAGAATATAAATGTCGTATTTATTTGTACATTAGCAAAAAAAAATTCATACCGATCCAGTAAGATTCCTGTATGATTCCAAACCCGATCTTATAGTCGGCCCAATCTCGATTAAAATTGACGGACCCGTTCACTCGCCTTTGGATCACCTGAATAAAATAACAATATAGTACGAACAAGAAATTAAGAACCGAAATTGAATCCGGATATATATTCAATGTTTATATATGTTATACAATTTCATTAATATACTGTATTGAATGTATGATATGAATAAATTATGGGAGACATTGTATTTAGATATAGATATTTAGATATAAAACATCCTGCGTGGTGCTGTAGGGATTACTATTATATATTATTATAGAGGGAGCTTAGTCAGGGCCCCATCCCTGGTAGCTGCCCTATATATCATCTTTAACGTTAAAGGTCTGGGAAATAAATGTGAAAAAAAAACAATATAGTGTTCAAACATATATGAGAAGGTATATATTCTTCAATTACATACAATGTAAAGTCGCCCGCTTGGCGCAGTGGTAAGAGCGTCTGCTCTAGAGTCGGGGAGTAAGAAGCCGATCCTTATGTCGCGGGTTCGAATCCACTGCGGGACGTTGAGACAGGTCCTTCGGAAGAGAATGTATAAACCGACGTCCCGTGTCACAGTAGGTACTGGCACGAAAAAGATCCCTCACTGCTCAATGGCCTTTAGTGCCGAATATAGGTTTAAATTTGCAGCTCACCACCGGCAACTAGTGGCGTCTCCATATGAGTGAAAAATTGAGTGAAAGGGACGTTACACAACAACGACAACCAAATAAAAAACACAAACAAACAAAAGAAAACAAAACAAAAACCAAAACAAAGTGTTTGTGTAACACTATGCCCCCGATGATAACACAATTCTGGAGTGGGACAGACTACAGTGCAATAGTTATGGCCAATGATAAAGTTTTTCAAATGTAGGTCAAAGGTCACAGTTGAGGTCACATGATCAAAAATTTCTGTCCAATGGAAAGGTCATAATGAACACTCATGTCAAATATTAAAACCTTACCCTTTTTGCATCGCAATAGTTTTGGGCTAGGTTAAAGTTGACAACAGACGGACATGACAAAAACAATATACCCCCGGGATCTTTCGATCCAGGGGCATAAAAAAACAAACAAGATGTGTTTGTGAAACACTATGCCCCCGATGGTAACACAATTCTGGAGTGGGACGTAGACTACAGTGCAATATTTATAACAAATGTTAAAAGTTTTTCAAATGTAGGTCAAAGGTCACAGTTGAGGTCACATGATCAAAAATTTCTGTCCAATGGAAAGGTCATAATGAACACTCATGTCAAATATTAAAGCCTTACCCTTGACAGCGCAATAGTTATGGGCTAGCTTAAAGTTGACAACAGACAGACAGACAGGGCAAAAACAATATACCCCCGGGATCTTTCGATCCAGGGGCATAAAAACAAACAAACATGCATATAATGCATGATAAGTTTATCCTATTACCTTCCGGAAAGCGTACATAGATCAAATGTAAAATTAAGAAATACTCCGTTTCTCTATTATTTTCAAAGCCACCTTATTATATATGTTGTAATCCGTAGTGGTTTTGTTTGCATGAACAAATCAGCATTTCCTTTTAATTTTCATTACACTTAATTGAAAAACGGAAACTAAAATTAAAAACTGTTTATTTATCTCAAAATACACGTTTTAATGCCAGTTTCTCAAACACCAGAAATAACTATGACATTAAAAATTAATAGGCATAGTTGAGGTCCGATAACAAATTTAATTTCAAGAATTGCGGGTTTACAATTTAAATATTAACAGATACGTTATCAGATAAGGTGGCTATCTGCTACAATGACAACTACAGGAAACGATACGCTGTTTTGTTGGAACACATTTGGTTATAATATACCGCTTACTGCACGATTCCTTTGCATTACATACTCTTTAAAAAATTGCTTCGCGTTATGCATATATTGCTATGCATATGAAGGCATGCAAAGGATAGCACAAAATATTGATACTTAATTCATCTGTGTTTTTAAATCCGTTAACTATGTTGTGTAGCTTGTATAAATAATTTTCAAAAACATTCTTTTAATATTTTCCTGTGTGTTGAATACATTAAATCCTGTGGATAAAGAAGAGATTACCGTCCACCCTCCACCATCTGTTTCCATATCGCAGAAAACATCCACGGACACATTACCATTGGGATGAATTGAGTAGGAACCGGATGTTCTCTGTCCTCTCTCATAAAGCTCCTTACAATCCACGGCCAAATTATTACCTGTATTAAATATTTATTACTTATTCAGTCACACTTTGTCAAGATTTCATAATATTATGTAGGAATAAATTAGATCAAAGAAATTAAACAATAAGTTGTTAAATTTTTAAACTTTAGCCTTTTATATCTTTATTTGCTTATTCCCTGTACAATTTAGGAGTTGCAATAATACAATGACCAGAGTGCGGTTTTAGAAAAATAGTTCTGTCATTTACTGAAAGTTTGATTCAAAAGATGTGTTGAACGAATCAAACTTTCAGTAAATGACAGTTAAAACATTTCTTCTTTAAGAAAGAAAAAAAAAATAATCATTTGATATCTTTTCAAAACTCCAGGTAGTTATGCTGCCTTTTTCTAATAACATCTCATGATACTATGATTTTAAATTAAGAATATCCTTGAAGATTATTAGTGTAATAGGAACACTGTAAAGGACATGTGTATATACGTTGCGTCTTAAATAAATATATTTACATTTTCTATTTTCAATATCCTTTTTGTCCTCACCCTTAAAATGAAAAGAAAAACAAAAATCTACATACGCATTGCAAATGATAGATCTTCGATAATATTTGTTCTTAATAATGTGCTGTAGGGGGAGCAGTATTTTAATCAAAAGACGAGGTTGCAGAATATGTTTTGTTTGCAATTTGTATGGAATACACACTGCACTGTTATAAGGTTATCATGGAAAGGAACATACGTTAAATCTACAAATCATTACTTAAACAACTTTGAGGGCTTCACCAGCAAATATTATCTAACCAAAAATATACACTGAATCCTAAAATTATCTTTTATATCTAAAATTAAGCATTGCAATGCTCTCCCATATTTAAATAAAATACCTTTAGATTGCCCTCCGGACAAGGCTGACCGGAAGTACCTCCATTTCATCTCGACGACAGCGTTACCAGTTTCAGAACACGTGTTATGAAGACGACATTTCTTGGTCTGAGAGTTAAATCCGAAACAACCACAATTTCCCCCACAGATAGCCGAACATACACTTATAGAAGCCGATTCGTATTCTCCTATAAGAAAGTCAGCAAACAATCTATTATCCAAGTCCGGATATAATGTGTAATTCTGGGTCACTATTATCTGTGCTGATGTACAGGCGCAATATAACAAAATCGGACAAAAAATTACTGTTAATACCATTTTCTTAAAATCCATCATAATTCACAGTACACCCTAAAAGGGTGACGTTTTCGAGGTCGCTGTTTGATTTTAAGGCACTTTTTACAGCACTTCCGAATTCTATTTGAAAAAAAGTCTTATACAGGTTTGGTACACATCAACTGCCTAGATGACTTTTAAATATAACTGATGAGGTTTAAAATTGCAGTTTTAAAAATCAATATGCGAAAACGTAACAAGAGTTTAAAAAAAATCATTATTAGGAAAATGTTAGATCTAATGGAAATAAATTAAGACAATGTTGCTTAAAAACTTGTTTTGATGCGACTAAAAATATATTTTCCCTTAACGACCTATGGTTATTTACACTGTTTCGTCCTTATTAAATCAGTTCACAGTTTCTTTATCCCAGCACATGCCAGAGATATGCCTTCATAACATCATAAGATTAGCATCAAAAGCTCATTCAATTTTAAAATTATTTATATAACATTCTTGACTTTGAGAAAAATAAACATACATTTAAAATCTTCAAATTTAATCAGATCATATCTATTCTTTGATTATACATAAATCCCTGAAACTTCAGCTCAATTATTTTGGTCAGGTTACCTCAAGAAAAGTATACTTGGTACTCACGACAATTTACTCTTACCTTTAAAAAAAATGAAAACTGGGTATTAATTTTACTGGAAAAAAAACCCCAAACAATCATGGACAGCTTGAATGGTGCTTTAAAATTAAGACAAACCTGAATCATTCTAGGAATGTACATGTAGTCCGAGACAGAAGAGAGAAGTCTCTGATGAGACTGTAGCTATCCTAATGTAGCTGTTAACCTGCAATAAATGAAAAGACTTCCACCTGGAAGAAAAAACCTATTTTAGATTTTCCATTTCACTTAAAATCTCTTCTTGAAACACTGATGCCCCCGTATGGCAGCTCATGGTCCCCTACTGGATTTTTGAGAGAAGTGCTGACTTTAAAAGTCGATTGCTTACTTTTACACTAGGACACTTTACGGAAGTTCTTTTGCGATTTAAGTGTTTAGCTTAACAGTTAAGTAAAATATAATAATGGGTAATTTGAAAGCATACGAAGGGAACAGCAACCACCCTATCCTGAACCCACGACCTTCCCAACTTCGCCAACTCTGTCAATGTTTTTCTTTCCGGAATGTTTTTTCTTCTTTATTTGATTCCTTCAGAAAATGATATTGAAAGGAGATACACCCCGTCACTAATAACGTTTTTAAGTTAATTATGATATTCTGCCTCCCATCATCTCTTTAATTGATTGTATACTGTTAAATCATACTAGCGCCCCTTACACCTTACATATAACAACAATAAGGGTTATCTTACCTACTATCAATTCCGTACCTCTGTACTTAATGCAGATTAAACGTCACATTGAGAGTAAAAGTCAGAGCTTCTCACAAAAGTCCATTACAGAGGCATACAAATATTTGATCTTTTTTTAAAACTTGTAAAACTTTGACTGAAATTGTAGCAAACCATCATTTCGTACAACACTGATGTCCGTATGTGGCAGCTCATGACTTCCGATTAGGATAAAGATATTTTATTTATTCCCTTAACTTCTCCAAATTCTACTATAAATTTGACCAAAGCAGAATTATAGAAATTTTTATTTATGATAAAAATTCTTGCAACACTGAGCCCCCCCCCCCCCCCCTGCATAGCAGCTTATGGCCTTCAATTACCTAGGCATACAAATCTTCGTTCTGTTTTCCTAACTTTGAGTAAAATTTTCTTGAATTATGACCAAAACAGCATAACTGATTTTTTTTACTTGAAATAAAAAATGCCAACATCATGTAGATATATATCAATCATAGATGTACAATTTACCACCCAGTAAAGTCTGTTTCTAGGGAGGAAACTAATACATATTGCTAGATATGTTTATTTCAGTGGGAGACCGGTTAAAATGAAAGAAGGAATTCTGTAAATGCATTAATATTTGATAGGTAAATGGCTACCATGACTTATAACAATTTCAATTTCAAACAAAGCATACGTAATCGTGCTGGGAATGATTGATGGATTTAAATACACACACTTCCTAAATACAATAATTTTAAAAGAAAATCTATCTTTAGTATTGCACATTATTAAATTTTCATCGAAAACAAATTACATAAGTCGTCTGTACGATTTCTCACACTACTGCCATAATAATAAAAATTTGATTTGTGATAAATTAGAAAAATGATACTGCTCCGGCAATACAAATAAAGATGTACGACATTGAGTAGAAAAAAACAAAACACAGAATGATTTAAATACAGAACTTCTCAATCAGCCTGAATTTTTAAAGCAATCCTGTCAATTACTCAATGTTGTTAATTTATCTGAAGACAGAATAAGTTTATTGTATCAATAAAAACTCAAATTATATAATCAAGTGAAGAGTAATTGAATTCGATCTTTGTCGGTGTTTAAAACTGGATGACAGAAACGATCAGTGAAACTAATAATGGCCGACAACACCTAAATAACAAGCCATGAGCACATTATGATTGCAGATAAACAAACATTTATCAATATCAGTCCTGATAATGAAAAGAACAAGAATACTCGAGCTGCATTACGATTACCATAGATAAAGTGTAGGAAAGATTGTTACTCCACGTACACTCAAAAGCAGTAAAATGGTGCAAAAGATGTAGCTGGGATGTTAACTGTAATAAATTAACAAGATGACAGAGAAAATATTCTATCAATGAATATATAAATTATTAGTGTTTGTAGTACATGCTTCTGTACATACATTGTGCATTTTCATATCATAGGGCATTGCAAGTATGCATGTGCATTTTTAAAGGAAGTTTTTGCAGATATGAACTCGTTCATTTATTCACTCTTAAGTATATTAATCGATATATATATATATATATATATATATATATATATATATATATATATATATATATATATATATAGAACGCACAAAGAAACTCACTTTGACCAGGATACCCACTTCCGCACCTATGGAATCTGTCTCCTAGCAGTACAGGAACAGCATGCTAGACCGTTCGGCCATCTAGTGACAACCCCGACAATATACAAATTAGGAGATTGTGGTCACGAAATTTGAAAGAGAACTTGCATTTTTCCATTGTTATACTGAGTGTGCCAATAGCAATTTTGAATTAATATCTGGAGTTAAACGGGGTTTAGGGTGGATTTGAACGTTTAGCTGCAAAAATAATGAATTTCAATCCAAATCGTATAAACTTTTGTATGACGTTCCCTCCGAGACCAGATAGTAAAGCAGCGGCAGTTTATTATGCAATACAAACCGGTTTGTATCAAACTCTTATAGGAAATGACCACGCCTGAATGAGTTTGGTTTGTACTTATATCCCCCTCCATCCAGACTTTCAATGTTTAAATCATGTAATAGAGTAGATGAAAAAAAAAAGATTCACTTGCAGAGTGCTTTATGGATGACAGAATTGACCTGAAAGAAATCAAATAATTAGCCTCCATAAATCTCACCCCATAAGTATTCAAATGGATGCCCCGTAACAGTCCCAAAGCATAACAATCCGACATAAAATGGACCAAGGAGCCTCACAAGTAATCGGCTTGGCATGTGTAGATGTCACAGACAAGATATTGCTTACAACCTGTCAAATAAACTGTGCTGGGTTGTAGCATGGTTTCAGGGTGAGGGTTTTCAAATCCAGTGTTTGGATGGTCATTCTTTCGAATTCAGCAAATGAAATTCCTG